CAGATCATCATGAATACCACCAGGACCCCTGAGAGCCCCCCAAAACCCCCCAAACCTTCAGGTCATCATCACCACCACCACATCCAGAACCCCTGAGACCCCCCAAACCCCAAATCCCCCCCAAACCCTGAGTTCACCATTGGGGTGGGGGCAGGTATTGGACCTGGGGAGGCACTGAGGGGACAACTGGGAGCACTGGTGAGGTGACGATGAAGGCACCGTGAGAAGAGCTTGGGGCAGATCTTCGGGCCACCCCAGAGGACCTCGGGGTGCCGGGGCTCTCTGGGGGTCCCCCTGACGCCCCCGTGTCACCCCCCCAGAACATCATGCCCATCTCGGCGGCCATGTTCAGCAGCGAGCGGCAGAACCCGGCGCCGCAGTGCCCGCCCCGGCTGGTGATCCAGCAGCTGACGCCGGTCACCTGGAGCCGCATGCCCACCGAGTACCTGGCCGTGGAGAGCGCCCGGCTGGGCGAGCGCCAGGGCTGGGCCGTGGAGTGCTCCGAGCCCCTGCAGATGATGGCCCTGCACATCCCCGAGGAGGACAGGTGGGGACACCCCCGGGGACACCCCCGGGGACAGCCCCAGGGACACCCAGGGCAGCCACAGCCTCGTGGGGTCCTGGGACATGGGGTCCCAGCCACAGGAGGCCTTGGGGTCGCACCCCAAAAGTGTCGTCACCAGGAGAACTTGGGGTCTCACCCCAAAAGTGTCATCACCAGGAGAACTTGGGGTCTCATCCCCAGGGGATTTGTCCCCAGGAGACATTGGGGTCTCACCCCAAAACTGTCATCCCCAGGAGATCGTGGGGTCCCATCCCAAAAGTCACAGTCTCAGGAGACTTTGGGGTCCCCATGACAGGGGTCCCAGCCCCAGGAGACTGTGGGGTCTCATCCCCAGGGGTCTCATCCCCAGGAGACCATGTGCTCCCATCCCAGGGGTCCCACCCTGAGCCCCCCATTCCCTGTGCCCCCAGGGGTCCCACCCCATATCCCCCCATTCCCTGTGCCCCCAGGGGTCCCACCCCATATCCTCCCATTCCCTGTGCCCCCGGGTCTCATCCCCAGGAGTCCTTGGGGTCTCACCCCAAAACTGTCATCCCCAGGAGATCGTGGGGTCCCATCCCAAAAGTCACAGTCTCAGGAGACTTTGGGGTCCCCATGACAGGGGTCCCAGCCCCAGGAGACTGTGGGGTCTCATCCCCAGGGGTCTCATCCCCAGGAGACCATGTGCTCCCATCCCAGGGGTCCCACCCTGAGCCCCCCATTCCCTGTGCCCCCAGAGGTCCCACCCTGAGCCCCCCATTCCCTTTGCCCCCAGGGGTCCCACCCTGAGCCCCCAATTCCCTGTGCCCCCAGGGGTCCCACCCCATATCCCCCCATTCCCTGTGCCCCCAGGGGTCCCACCCCATATCCTCCCATTCCCTGTGCCAGGTGCATCGACATCCTGGAGCTGTGGGAGCGCGAGGAGCTGCTGCAGTTCCAGTGCCACACGCTGCGGCTCTACTGCGCCGTGTGCGCGCTGGGCAACAACCGCGTGGCCCACGCGCTCTGCAGCCACGTGGACCAGGCCCAGCTGCTCTTCGCCATCGAGACCCCCGAGCTGCCGGGACCCCTGCGGGCCGGCTACTACGACCTGCTGCTGGCCATGCACCTGGACGCGGCGCAGCGCGCCCGCTCCTCCATGAGCGCCGAGTTCATCGTGCCCATCACCGAGGCCACGCGCTCCATCGCGCTCTTCCCCGACGGCGGGCGCTGCCCGGGACCCCCGGGCGTGGGGCCCAGCGCCTGCTTGAGACCCCAGCCTCATTTCTCAGAGCCCTGCTTCATCCGGGCCGGGGGCGGCGGCGGGCGGGCGCCGCTCAGCCCGGCCATCCCGCTGGACGAGCTGGGAGCCAAGGCCATGCGCATGCTGGCCGAGGCGGTGGCTGGAGGGGGTCCCCACGCCCGGGACCCCGTGGGGGGCAGCGTGGAGTTCCAGTTAGTGCCCGTGCTCAAACTGGTGTCGGCGCTGCTGGCGGTGGGAGCGCTGGGGGACGGCGACGTGCGCCGCGTGCTCCGCATGATCGAGCCCCGCGTCTTCGGGGACGGCGAGGGACGGCGGGAGGAAGGGCAGGAGGAGGAGGAGGAGGAGGAGGGGGTGAAGGCCATCGAGGCTGGCGAGGAAGAGGAGGGGGAGGATGAGGAGGCGAGGAGGAAAAAGGCCGTGGAGGCTGGAGAGCTGGAGGAGGAGGAGGAAGAGGAGGAGGAAGTGAGGAGGAGGAAGGCCATCGAGGCTGGAGAGCTGCAGGAGGAGGAAGAGGATGAGGAGGAGGCCAGGAGGACAAAGGCCATTGAGGCTGCGGAGGTGCAGGAGGAAGAGGAGGAGAAGGAGGAAGAGCTGGAGGAGGGGCTGCTGCAGATGAAGCTGCCGGAGTCGGTCAAGCTGCAGGTGAGGGAGGGCACGGGGGTGGGGCGTGTGTCCCCTCACTGTCCCCTCTCCATGTGTCCCCTCATTGTCCCCTCCCTGGGCTCTCCTCCCCGGTGTTCTTGTCCCCTCCCCATTGATGTCCTGGAGTCCCCAGTCCCCATGGTGTCCCCCATGTCTCCTGTGTCCCCAGTGTCCCCCATCTCCCCAGTGCCCCTGTCCCCAATGTCCCTGATGTCCCCAATGCCCCCGTGTCCCTGATGTCCCCAATTCCCCCGTGTCCCCGAAGTCCCCATGTCCCTGTTGTCCCCGATGTCCCTGATGTCCCCAATGCCCCCGTGTCCCTGATGTCCCCAGTGCCCCCGTGTCCCCGATGTCCCTGATGTTCCTGACATCCCAATGTCCCCCATGTCCCCAGTGCCCCTGTGTCCCCGATGTCCCCATGTCCCCGTTGTCCCCAATGTCCCTGATGTCCCTGATGTCCCCAATGCCCCCGTGTCCCTGCTGAAGGAAATTTCCCGATGTCCCTGACATCCCCAATGCCCCCATGACAGAGCAGGGACAGAGCGGGGATAGAGGGGGACAGCGCGGGGACAGCCCGGGTGTAGAGTGGGGATAGAGCAGGGACAGGACGGGGACACTGAAGGGACAGCAGGGGGGACAGGGGACAGAGCGGGGACAGAATGGGGACAGCATGGGACACTGCGGGGACATGGCAGGGACAGATGGGGGACACTGCAGGGACACCATGGGGACACCCCCGGGGACACGGCCTTGGCTGGGATGTGTGTGGGGACGTGTGGGGGGGACATGGGGACACGTGAGGGAACTGTGGGAACAGGGGGATTTGGGGACAGCGTGTGGGGACATGTGGGGCACACGGGGAGGGGTGTACAGGGGTGGTCCCGTGACCTGGTGTCCCCCCGTGTCCCCCCGTGTCCCCCCGTGTCCCCAGATCAACATGCTGATGCAGTACAAGGGAGGGGCTGAGGATGAGGAGTGTCCCGTGCCTGGGGACATCCGGGACGAGCTGCTGGACTTCCACAACGACCTGCTGGCCCACTGTGGTGAGGGGGGGACAGGGACACCCCCCTGGCCTTGGGGACACCTCCCTGAGGGGTGGGGACACCCCCCTGGCCTTGGGGACACCTCCCTGAGGGGTGGGGACACCCCCCTGGCCTTGGGGACACCCCCAGGGGAACTGGGATCTCCCCAGTGGAACTGGGACCCCCATTGTGGGACCCCAGAGACACACGGCCTTGGCTGGGATGTGTGTGGGGACGTGTGGGGGGGACATGGGGACACGTGAGGGAACTGTGGGAACAGGGGGATTTGGGGACAGCGTGTGGGGACATGTGGGGCACACGGGGAGGGGTGTACAGGGACGGTCCCGTGACCTGCTGTCCCCCCGTGTCCCCAGATCAACATGCTGATGCAGTACAAGGGAGGGGCTGAGGATGAGGAGTGTCCCGTGCCTGGGGACATCCGGGACGAGCTGCTGGACTTCCACAACGACCTGCTGGCCCACTGTGGTGAGGGGGGGACAGGGACACCCCCCTGGCCTTGGGGACACCTCTCTGAGGGGTGGGGACACCCCCCTGGCCTTGGGGACACCCCCAGGGGAACTGGGATCTCCCCAGTGGAACTGGGACCCCCATTGTGGGACCCCAGAGACCCCTGGGAGCGCAGGGACTCCACCCAGGGACCCTGAGACCCCCCTGCTTTGGGGACATGGGGACACAGGGACACCCCTGTGACCTGTCCCCGTGTCCCCCAGGCGTGGAGCTGACGGAGGAGGAAGAGGAGGAGGAAGAGGAGACGTCGCTGCGGCAGCGGCTGCTGGGGCTGGTGCAGAAGGTGGTGGGGGTCCGGGGCCCCCCCAAGGAGGAGGAGACCCCCCCCGAGGAGCCCCCGGTGCCCAGTGAGGAGGGGACAGGGGGGTGGGGACAGGGACACTCAGCTGTGTCCGGGACATGGCCAAGGTGGCATTGGGGTGACACTTGAGGTGTCCCCAAGGAGTTGGTCAGGGTGTCCTCAAGGTGCCAACCAAGATGTCACCAAGACACAGCCAAATTGTCCCCAAAGTGGCAGCGCTGCAGGAGCTGATCTGGCAGACCATGGGCACAGGAGTCACTGTGTCCCCAATATCCCTGATGTCCCTGATGTCCCCAACGTCCCCATTGTCCCCGTCCCCAGGCACGCTGCAGAAGCTATCTCGCAGACCGTGGTGCACTGGGTGCAGGAGTCACTGTGTCCCCAATGTCCCTGCTATCCCCAATGTCCCTGCTATCCCCGATATCCCCACTGTCCCCGATGTCCCCAGGCACGCTGCAGGAGCTGATCTCGCAGACCGTGGTGCACTGGGCGCAGGAGTCACTGTGTCCCCGATATCCCCGATGTCCCTGCTATCCCCGATATCCCCACTGTCCCCGATGTCCCCAGGCACTGTGCAGGAGCTGATCTCGCAGACCATGGTGCACTGGGCACAGGAGTCACTGTGTCCCCGATATCCCCGATGTCCCTGCTATCCCCGATGTCCCCAATGTCCCCAATGTACCCCCAGTGTCCCCGATGTCCCCGATGTCCCCAATGTCCCCAATGTACCCCCAGTGTCCCCGATGTCCCTGATGTCCCCAATGTCCCTGCTATACCCAATGTCCCCGATGTCCCCAATGACCCCAATGTCCCCAATGTCCCTGCTATCCCCGATGTTCCTGCTATCCCTGATGTCCCCAATGTCCCCGTGTCCCCGCTGTCCCCAGGCACGCTGCAGGAGCTGATCTCGCAGACCATGGTGCACTGGGCACAGGAGTCACTGTGTCCCCAATGTCCCCAATATCCCCGATGTCCCTGCTATCCCCAATATCCCCAATGTCCCTGCTATCCCCAGTGTCCCCAATGTCCCCGTGTCCCCATCCCCAGGCACGCTGCAGGAGCTGATCTCGCAGACCATGGTGCACTGGGCGCAGGAGTCGTTCATCCAGAGCCCGGCGCTGGTGCGGGCCATGTTCAGCCTGCTGCACCGGCAGTACGACGCGCTGGGCGAGCTGGGCCGCGCCCTGCCCAAGGCTTACGCCATCAGCGCCACCTCGGTGCCCGACACCACGGCCCTGCTCGAGTGCCTGGGCCAGATCCGCTCGCTGCTCATCGTGCAGATGGGCCCCGAGGAGGAGAACCTCATGATCCAGAGCATCGGGTGCGTGGGGCCCTCTGCGTCACCTGTGTCCTCTCTGGGTCACCCTGTGTGCTCTCTGGGTCACCCTGTGTCCCTTTGTGTCCCCCTGTGTCCTCCTTGTGTCCTCCTGTGCCCTCTCTGGGTCACCCTGTGTCCTCTCTGTGTCCCTTTCTGTACTTTCTTGTGTCCTCTCTGCGTCACCCTGTGTCCCTTTGTGTCACCCTGTGTCCCTTTGTGTCCCTCTGTGTCCTCTCTGGGTCACCCTGTGCCCTCTCTGTGTCCCTTTCTGTCCTCCTTGTGTCCCCCTGTGTGCTCTCCGGGTCACCTGTGTCCCTTTCTGTCCCTTTCTGTACTCCTTGTGTCCTCTTGTGTCCTCTCTGGGTCACATGTGTCCCTTTGTGTCACCCTGTGTCCCTTTGTGTCCCCCTGTGCCCTCTCTGGGTCACTCCATGTCCCTTTGTGTCCCTCTGTATGCTCTCTAGGTCACCTTGTGTCCTCTCTGTGTCCCTCTCTGTCCTCCTTGTGTCCTCTCTGTGTCACCCTGTGTCCCTTTGTGTCCCCCTGTGTTCTCCTTGTGTCCTCCTCATGTCCCCCTGTGTCCTCCTCGTGTCCCCCTGTGTCCTCCTTGTGTCCCCCTGTGCCCTCTCTGGGTCACTCTGTGTCCTCTCTGGGTCACCCTGTGTCCTTTTGTGTCCCTCTGTGTGCTCTCCAGGTCACCTGTGTCCCTTTGTGTCCCCCTGTGTCCTCTCTGGGTCACCTGTGTCCCTTTGTGTCCCTCTGTGTGCTCTCCAGGTCACCTGTGTCCCTTCGTGTCCTCTTGTGTTCTCTCTGTGTCACCTGTGTCCCTTTGTGTCCTCTTGTGTCCTCTCTGGGTCACCTGTGTCCCTTTGTGTCCCCCTGTGTCCTCTCTGGGTCACCCTGTGTGCTCTCTGTGTCACCCTGTGTCCCTTTGTGTCCCTCTGTGTCCTGTCTGGGTCACCTGTGTTCCTTTGTGTCCCCCTGTGTCCTCTCTGGGTCACCCTGTGTGCTCTCTGTGTCACCCTGTGTCCCTTTGTGTCCCTCTGTGTCCTCTCTGGGTCACCTGTGTCCCTTTGTGTCCCCCTGTGTCCTCTCTAGGTCACCCTGTGTTCTCTCTGTGTCCCTTTCTGTCCTCCTTGTGTCCTCTCTGTGTCACCCTGTGTCCCTTTGTGTCCCTCTGTGTTCTCCTTGTGTCCTCCTCATGTCCCCCTGTGTCCTCCTTGTGTCCCCCTGTGTCCTCTCTGGGTCACTCTGTGTCCCTTTGTGTCCCCCTGTGTCCCCCTGTGTCCCCCTCCAGGCACCCCAGTCCCTATCCAGCACCCTGAGAACCGCCTGAGCACCCCAAGTGCCCCCCCAGATCTGCCCCTAAACACCCCAAACCCCCCCAAACCCTCCAAATCTGCCCCTGAGCACCCCATAACCTCCCCTGAGCCCCCCCAATCTTTGACCCCCCGGTCCCCCCCCAGGAACATC